TTACAGGAATCAATAAAATTATAAAACATTTCAGTCAACATTGAATCAATAAAAATGCAATATAATTTTTCAAATCAAATTTTTATAGGACAGATAGAACCTTGACAAATTAGTCAAGTATATACTAGTATTTGATAATAAATCTTATAATAGGACTATCCTTAGTAAGTTTAATTATATAACTAGATAGATAAATTTATATAAAATAAATTTGTATATACTTACAAATAATATTTAATAAACAAGGTGTAAGTCATTTGTTAAAAAAAAAAAGTAATAATAATAATAATAATAATTTTTAATAATTAAAAAAGTCAAATAATATCTTTATCATCAAAAACAAAAAAGATTTTTTAAAAAAATTATTATTTATCAAGTATTTAAAAATTGTTTTTACTTTTGAAAAAAAAAATATTATAAAGAAAAGTTATAAAGAATTTTTATAATAAAAAATTTTAATTTTTTCCTTTTATTAACTATTTTAATTTTTTTAAAATTTTTTTCTTTATGGTTTTTAAAAAATTTTATTTATTTTAATTTGATTGTAAATTTTTATAAAATATAATTCTTATAGAAAATTATTATTTAATATAAAATATTAATAAAAAAATTTATAATGAAGTTTTTTTATTATTAATCAAGTTTTTAAAAAAACAATTATAATATTAAAAAATAAGTAAAAGTATATAATACATCAATATCACTTTTTTACTAAATTCTTTAAATAATAAAAAAGCTAAAATCTTTTAGTTTTAATTTTAATTATATAAAAATAAAATATTATTGATACTAACTAACTATTTTAATTGGATTATAAATTTTTATCTTACTAGAAATGGTATAAAATAAAATTTTTTATTTTAAAACCCAAAATAATAAGTTTTTCAAATAATATACAGTTTTAATGATTAATAATTAAGTTTTTAAAATAGTTTAAAGTAAGAAGAACATTTAAATTATATTATTTTTTTAAGAAAAGATTTGTTTAATTGAATAAAAATCTTTTTAAAAAATTTTAAATTGATTTTTTTTATATATATTGATTTAACAATTTAAAAATAATTTAGAAAATTAAAAATTAAATAAGTGTTGATATTAAATAGTTAAATTAGAATTTTGATTAGAATTTTTATAACAAATTAGTAGAACAATTTATAAATAATAATATTTATAATTTAAAAGGTATTAATAAGAATTATAGATAAAAAGAGTTATTATTTTTAAAATTATATTCATAGTTAAAGTTTATAAGAACAAATAAGTTAATTATAAATTTAACTTGAACAATTCTCCAATATATTGTATATACGTATGATTATTTAACTATTGTTTAATAAAATATAAAATCTAGTTGGATAGTAATAATTTAAAAAAATTATATCAAATTTTTAAAAAGTCAATTTAAATAATAATAATAATAATTTAAAAATTAAATAAATATCAAGATATTTAATAATTAACAAGAAATGATATCTTTAATTAATCAAAAAAACAAAATAAAAAATGACTGCTATTATTTCTGTTAAATAAAGCTCAATATATATATATATATATATATTTTTAAAAAAAAAATAAACATTTTAAAATACTTTTAACCAATTTTATTAAATTTGTAAAGCAAATTAATATTTATTATTATATTTATTTAAAGTATATAAAAAAAAAAAAAAAATCAAAATATTTGAAATTTGCACATTACCAAAATAAATGAATATCGATCATATAGTCACTTATGAAATAAACTTTCGATTAAGATTAAATTAAAAAAATTTTTTATAAGATTTATAAGATAAAACTTGAAAAAAATTTTTGTTGCAACATAACGATATCAGATAACGGATGCTGCTGTATTTAATCAATACGCAATATCTGGATAACATGCATGAGGCACGTATTTAACGTAGAAATGACATCTACCATTGGAGTGAGTCAAAAATGTTGATAAATAATGTATATGGATGAGCATTAGTAAAAAACTTAAACTTTTCTAATAATATTCTATTCTATCTATTTCATATTATTCTAATGGGAAGTGAGGTTATCTACTATATCTAATTTAACTTAATTGAATGAAGTAAGTAAAACGCTATAAAAATTGAACGTCCGTTTAACATTTTACTGCCAAGTTCATAATTTCAATTTATTATTCTCTTGATCTTTGATCACCACTGGAACGAGACCACGAAATTTATAAACCACCCTGCATTTGACACCGTTCTCACACAGGAAATTGTATAAAGTCAACACCACCAACAAATAGAGACCGCAACTCGCCAGCAAATGCCAGATGGCGTGTAATTGTGGATTAAATGGGAGAATGGATTTCTCGCCGCCGTTCACATAATCGCACATGTGATGATCGGTCAACCATACGGCAGCGGCCAATGCGTAAATAACCACACCACGTTCAAATAAATATTTTATCGCCGGATGAGAGGCTTTCTTGAGGGAGTAGATACGAAACATTAAGTAAAGCGAAAGCAATTCCAGGGAGCCGAATGATACGTGGAAGAAAATGAATTGCAGGTTTCCTTTGGCGATGGTTACAGCCAAGGTACATATTAGGGCGTGAGCGATTTGTACAATCGGCAACCAGCTTCCTTGTCGACCATAATTTGATTCTATCAAAGGATGCATCAATGTTAGTGCCGACCAAACCATCGGTACCTGTATAGCGTGAAGAATGTGATTGACGGGTGAGATGCGGTGGTTGAGAATCGAACAACGAATGAGAAAAGAAATACCTCGTCAAGAGCCTGCATTTGACTTGTAAGAGTTGCGTGAAAAAGCAAACTACCAATTCCTACAACTGAAACTAATCGAAATGCAAGTTTAAACTGAAAACTGTCGCAAGAATTTATCCGAGCACCTATTTCGCCAAATATTATCATCGCTATGCTTGAGAAGGAATTCCAAAATCTAAAGGGAAAAATTGACAAAATGTGTCACACTCTGATATGATTCGAGTATCGCAATTTACAAACGTGTCCATGAAAAATACGTGCTCGGCGATATAATGAGAATACTCGTAGTTGTTCTCACACCAATCCACAGAACTAGTTATCGGCCAATATCCCATTTCGTTGATTTCAGATCAGAAAGGATTACTTGAGAGTGTGTTGAGAAAATGTGGAGCAAGGTAAATGCATATAATATTTATGTCATAATTCACTCGTCACGCGCCATTACTATCAACTTTAGAACCATTTAAATGGATGTTTGTTGATCACATTTCTAAAAAAAATTTTCAAATAGCGATAATGCTAACATCGGCTGCGTGCCTGCCGGTGTGCATGTTAATCCATTTTCGACTCTGAAGAAAGCGACCACGTGACCATTTGCTGCGTATATGTTTGTATGTAGCCATTTTCGAGTTAAGCTTGGGTGGTCGTACGCAGTAAAGGTGATCGTTTGTCAACAAATTTTAATTGAATAATCATTCTGAAATTCCATTATCGCAAGTTCTAATTGGCAGTATGCAATATATAATATAATGCAAATACTTGATGATCATTTTCAAACTACATAACATTCATACTTAGAATGAATATAATTAACGAAATAAATAAACATACAATCCTTCGCGACTTAAACAAATTAAGTTATTAATAAAAAAACAATAGCATCATCAGCAACCCACTTCCTTCTGTACCACGTACTAATCCCTTGCCGCGAAAAGCAATTCCTTGTCATTTTCTTAAAGTTCTTCCTTTTAAACTCATATCTTGCAACAATAGATTTGAGAGATTAGAAATATATGTATGGTATATAATACGCATTTTATTAATTGAATTATATACACTATTACACTAGGATCTATGAAAATTAGATGAGAATTTTTTTTGAAATGAACTTTTACTTAAATCATACATTTTTATATTATCATATTTAAATCAAAAAATTTGATGTTGTTAAATTTGAAAGATAAGCATGAAAAAAATATTGATCCATTTATTTGAATTATTTTTGTGAAAATTTATTTTGTATTTTGTTTTTTTGGGAGGTTATGTTTTTTTTTTTTTAAAAAAAAAGTGTGATAAATTATTTGGTCATGTAAAAAGAAAGAGTCTAATAAAATTAATCAATAATCAAATAGTTTAAATTAAAATACCAAATTTATCATTGAAAAAATTTTTTAAAATTGATCAGTAATGCCTATAAAATAAAATAAAATAAATAAATGAAATAAATTAAATATTAAAATAAAATATAAAATACAAATATTAAAATAAAAAATAAAATAAAATAAATATTAGAATAAAAAATAATATAAATAATAAAATAAGTAACAAAATAAATGATAAAATAAATGATAAAATAAATATATAAATCACAAGGGTATCAAAATATGTATACTATATACTTTATATATGAAAGGTTATTAATTGTAAATATTATAAATTTTTATGATATTGGTATTAAATTTGCTACGATAAATAACCCGGACTTTCTACATGTTATTATTGTTCCGAAGCATGGGCGTCGGATCATATAATTCTATGCAATATGAAAAGGTTCCAGCATCCCCCCGCTCAAGAATTGAGTCGACAAAATGATTAGCTCGGATAAAATATAAAGTTTTTATTAATATTAATATTATTACATATTTAATTAATCTTTTTAGTTATAAAGCTCCGGCCGGACCCAATAATGGTTTCCGTTTTCCTGGTTTATTGTACATCACTTTGGATGTTTATCGGACATCCTTTTGTCAGATCCGACTCTCGATACGTTCATTTTGGGCCTCAAATTGTGGGCAAACGGGAAAAGACGATTTTTAAATTATTTGAAGATACAACTATTTATGTTTAATCAATCGAATAGAGAAATGATAGGAATGATCGGGTACTGGTAAAAATTGTAGGACTCCTACCACTACTTGACTATGCTCTATGCAGTGCACTTAAGTGTGTGTTATCAATAAATCACATTAGCTTCGGTTTACAATTTAATAAAAATTTTATGCATATGCATTACGGACTTCATGGACTAATCAGTCTCTATATAACGAATGCAAACGCAACACATGCGGTCAAAGTTATAATACCAACGTTCCACACACCAGCACTCATTACTGAACCAGATGTATTTTGTCCTGAAACTACATTTTGCGTAGGAGAATTGGTGCTGGTGTCGGTGGCTGTGGAACTTGTAACAAATGCAGTTACTACTACTGTGTTGGAGGATGAAAGTGCTGTCGTGGAATTAGATGAGGAGGAGGAAGAGGGTGCGGAAGAGGTGGTGGTAATATTATTGTTGGCGGTTGCCGATGCGGATGTGTCTACTGATACTGAAGTCGCTTGTTCACTGGATGCTATTAATTATTATTTAATATTATTAGCGATGCACGGAAAACTAAATGACGAGACAATATTTATAAATCACGTACGTGAAATGGTCCAGGGTGATTTTGGATCGTAGCTGACAGTAGATTGGCTGTCACTGTCTACGATGCTAAATCTCGTACTCCAACTAATACCTTGATCGGGATTTGCAGCATCGGAGAACATGATGAAATAAATGTGGCCTGGAGGATATCCGAGGCTTTTGGGCGAGGGTACTGTGATCGTCAGTGAGGTGGTAGAGTCGCTAAGATTAGGTGCAAGGGTCATGAGATATATTTGTCCAATATCGGGACCGGTCATTAGTTTAACACATATTCCCTTAAATGAAGAAGTCGGTGGACTACCGACGTCAGACCAATCTATGGTGACCTTTGAAAATATAATTAAAAAGGAAAAGTTATGTTTCTAATATTCGTCGCATTTTCTAGATCATCGAAAGATTGTGTGCATTGTCTCGTTAAATATTTAGAAACGACGAGAATATATGCATGTTCTTTATTTTATATATCTACCTGTTGACCGCTAGTCCATACTGTACTTCCGTAGGGGTCTGATGGCGATGGGTATCCATAGGCCAAAGTAACGGCCGCGACGAGTATCAGTAAATAATTTAATATTCGATACATGATTTCAGTATTTCTCTTTGAAATAATTTTTGTGATAGTGCGTTTGCTCTTTCAACCTGCGGCAAAACTCTCCAATTGCTAACAAATGAATGTAAATCGGGATTTATCTAATTATTAGCGAATTTCTTTTTTCAACTTTTTTTTTTTTTTTTCTTTAAAAAAAAAAGAAGAGATGTGCGCTAACAATCCCTGGAGAATTTTGTCCGGATTTTTGGAAAATTGGTCAAAATGTTGCCCTCTGCTATTTTCCTTTCCTTTTATATTGAACGGGTACGGATAATGGCAACCGAAATCATTGTGTTCTCTTTATTATTTTACAATGCCAAAAGCATGCGGTGTCAGTATCTGTACAATTCTTTTAAATTACATTTCCTTTATTGGATCTTGAGGAGCTGCACGTGTATTTCGTGATGGACATTTATTTATCACACTTAATATTAATATCGAGAAAGAAAGTGCTGCAAATATTATGCTGAGTCTTTATCCGCTTTCCATAATTAGTCATGAACAAATTTCTTCAATGGAAGACTATTTAATATTTTTGGTGACAACTAACGGTGTGACCGAAGAAGAAATTGAGTACACTGCGAAAAACTGTTTCATTACCTCAATTATTCTTCTCATTTAGAAATAATATCTAGTTTCAAGCTCAGTTTCTAGAAATCGAATGTAATTAATGCAGCGTGTCTTAATTTTCATGTCACAATATACTGTAAAAATCTTTGATCGATAATCAATTCCTCTACACGCAGTCCTTTATTAACGGGTGCGTGAAATAAGGGTGTTTCCGAAGGAAAAAAAAAAAAGAAAAAAAAATATCAATCGAAATATGATTTGATATAACGCTTAATGTTTGTCTCACGAATTTGGAGTTGCCTCAATGTTTTAATTTGTGATCCTCAAATGCTGCAATGTAACGATCAGATAACTGCCGCTTCAAAGATTTCCAAAGTAAAATAGTCAATTATGAGATCACGTGAATAACCTAGAGAACAACCTCAAAAATTCAATTTTAATTTATTCTTTCTTATAATATTATCAGGTATCCAAGAAACCATTTAGAACCATGAAAACCTTAAGTTGCAGGGATGCGGCATATTCTGCCTACTTCCTTGCAACATCATGAGCGACAAATAGCAATTTGGGTAACAACATTAACCTAGATACTTCACTCGCACGGCTATTACAATCAATTCATACAATGCATCTCATATTATGATTTTCCTTCGGATTGCTGTGTACATCTAATTTTTGATTGTGACATTCCGGTTTTCCCCACGGACCATTTATAGACCAACTTGGCTTAATGTCTTGGCATATGTAACAGGGGTATTATGAACATTGGGATGTTTTTTTTTTGTGTGTGTGTGTGTTTTACCTATTTATTATGAATAATTATCATCATTAAACGAAACAATATTATGCGACGCAATCACCTTTTAAAGAATAATGATCGTAAATCGACGATACATGATTTATTAAAATTCATTTGTTATTTATCTAATGACATATTCGTTGGTTTCATATGTGTATAAGAAAACACATGGCAAAACTCATACAGACCTATGAAACCTGAAAAAAATCATTCACCCGGAGCATGTGGAGTCGTAAAGAGATCGATTATCTTTAAGATACTACGTTATTTATGCAGCTTTGACGGTGATTTTGCCACATCAATGTTGAAATTTGAAAATTACAGTACTTTTAATCCTCGCGGACGGCTATAGCGTTTGATCCAATCCAATCAGGCGACCAATCAAAGATTAGTTGGCATGCAAAATTGATGAAACCGGTTCTATAATTGTCGATCGTTGCACGACGGTCAAATCAATGTTGACCATACGTTATCGCTTAATTCTTATCTACAGTAATACAAAATTGACGTACTATATTTTGGTTCCAAAATTACCTTATACAGTAATTGTTTTTTAAAAAAAAATAAATAATAATAATAATAATTTATAATTTCATTTATTTGTTACTAACTCAAAATATTTTTCAATTTAAAACTAAAAATTTTGATTTTGTAATATTCAATTTTTGAAATTTTGAAAAAAATTTTTTTATCATTATTATTATCATCATTATTATTTTATCTTATTTTTTTGTGTAAACCTATGGATCTATAGTGCAGTAGTTAGCACTTCGTAGGTTAGATCACAAGAACCATGATCAAATCCTCCAGAAAGCAATCTCCAAAAAGCAGGTAATGATCTGTATCCATTGATGTAACTATACATAATCAATATTTCTATGTATAACTTGTCTCAACAGTCGACTGGAGTTTCTATGTGATACAAGCCAGTCTATATATGGATTGTGATAAGGCTGAATGTCCAAAATTGGGTAAGATTATCCCTTGACATGGTCGTATTACCAAATAAGGGTAACAAGAAGAGTAAATATTGAATTAGTAACATATCGCTGAAAGAAGGAATGATAAATCAAACAAAAAACAAATCCAATTTCCTGCCTTAGTATTGAGGCATCTGTTCAAGAATTCAAATATGTGGCTGTGCTAGGTTTCACAAACTTGACTATCAGGAACCCTTGATGGGAGAAGAAATCTGTGGACCACTTCAAAGGACTTCTGGAAATAATTAAAAAGGAATCACACATCTTTCCAAATAGGTAGTAGTTATACATAGAGGTAGAATAGATATAGCTACTCATATAAATAAGTTTACTTCAAAATATATATAATTACTTGTTGATAAATATATAATAAAGGGTTTGTACAGATCCCTTAATAGTAACCTGGTAAATATCTGCCATTATATCTGCGAAATCTGTACAGAATATATATTAATAAAATATGTGACCAACAGATCCCCAAATAGAAATTCTCTTAGATTACAACTTGGAGGACATATATAGATTATACAACCCAAATAAAAAAGAATTTAACTGGCACTGAAAAAACAATAGCAGTAGAATCAATCAAATCTGGATGAACATATTTCTCTCATGGCAAAGTAGGAAAGCCTATATCGGAGAAGCCTTAGACTTTCTGATTTCCAGTGATCACAAACCCACCATAACTGAGATAAAGACATGGCAACTAAACTCTTACAAGGAGATCTCACACTACAAACCGAATCATAAATACAATTGGTAGTTGACTAATAGTGAACAATGGAAAAAATTCTCCTCAGAAGTTGACAGAGCCCTCGACAATCAGAGCATAAAATCAAAATCAATCAATAGACAATGGAACTACTTATGCAATTACATCCTAATAGCAGCCAAACTTCACATTCCAAAGAGAAAACAATATAAAAAAAAAAGAATAATCAATGAGAAAGATATAATTAAAGATCTCTTAACACAGATGCAACTCTTTCACAACAAATTAAAACCCAGCTAGAAAACCAACAAACCTCCTCCCATTCTATCAAAACAGCTCCAGGAAAAGTTTTTAGACATCCAACAGCACCTCATGGAACTAAAGACAAAACACACCAATAACTTTCTGCAATACTGACTAGACTATATGCAGAAAACTATACGAGGTCACAAAGTCATTGCTCAAGCAATCACCTATAGAAAACAAGTCCTAGCAGAACAATAATAAGACAAGAATATTTAGCAGCAAATAAAAAAGCAATGATCAATAGCATTATGGAAAAACCTAGAAGAACCATTATTCTGAATAAGATCATCACAGAAGGAGAAGAAGTGTCAATTATAACAAACCCAACAGAAATCAAGCACAGGGTCAGACGACACTTTCAGGACTGGACACCAGTCAGAAAAATCAGACCAATCTCTAACTTTCTCTACTGGGTGCAGAATATGAACCAAAAAAGAATATTAACCCCATTGGTACCAGTCAGCCCTAACTGAAATATTCATTAGCGAAATCAAAAAAGCAATACAAGACAAAAGTGCAAAATCAGCTCCCAGAAAAAATCAAATCCCCTATATAGCCTACAAAAAACTTAGAGTCAAAGCAATAGAAAAAATCCACTCTTTCTTCAACAGAAACATCAGAGAAGAGAACATCCCAAAAGACTGGAGCAAAGAGGCTATCTACACAATACCCAAATCAAAGGACTGGCAAAACAACCTAGACATCACAAGACCAATCACACTCTTGGATACAGGAAGAAAGATTTTCACAAAAATCCTCACAGACAGATTGGCATGATATATAAGAGACCACAAGATCATCTCAGAACTAAACTGGATAGCACTTCCTGGCTGCAGCACACAAGAACTAATTCATATAATAACAACATCATTAAATACACAAAAGACATGAACAGACAAGCCTGGATTCTCAGCCAAGACATGTCAAAGGCATATGACTCAGTCAATCTGGAAATGTTGACTTTAGCTCTAAAATATATCAAGATCTCCTCAGCTTATCAACATCCTCCTGAATATACTCAACTACAGACAAAATATAGTGTTGACATGCCATGGTTCCACAACAGAATATGATCTATTGACCAAGGGGACACAATATCCCCACTCCTCTGGTGTATCTTTTATGATCCACTCATAACTAAAATCGATCAAAACTTTTCAGAATACACAATCTCCACAAAGATATGCAGAAATTACCAAGAAGGTTGGTTGATAAAAAAAATAAATATTGAGTCAGTGCTTATATGGATGATACCACCTGGATTACAGACAACATTAAGAAATGAGAAAGATTATCAAAAAAGTAGAGAAATTTTATCACAACAATGTAATAAAATCAATTCACAAAAATTATAACTCATTATCATCAACGAAAAAGAAAAGGACTTTGAGCAAGAGATAATAATCAACAGTCAAACCATTCAGAGCTGCTCTAAAGAAATGCCAGTTAGAATCCTAGAAGTGTGGCACAACAGTTCTGAAAAAAAGACTATCAAAGAAACTTAATCTATCAGAAATTCAGAAAGACCAAAGTACTCATAGAAATAAAAAACCTTACAGATAAACAGATGCAATACATTATAAATCACATCCTAATTTCTAGTGCTGAATACCTATGCAATAACATGATTCTATTAGAAAAATCATGCAATCTCCTTATGAGCAACATCACTTCAACCTTCAAACACAAACTAGGTCTGGCCAGAACAACTCCAAACAATATTTTATACAGCAAATAAGAGTACAACATAATACACCTTTGGGACAGACAACTATTATTACACACTACAATCTGAACTAATAGAATCAATAGAACCAACAGAGCAAGAGCAATCGCAAGAATAAAACTTCAAACTCTTCAAAATGAATTCTGATCAACACATCCCATCATGCACAAAATAGAAAGTCACTTGAAAAAGCTAGATAACAACCTCACACATGATATTATATGGCTTCTGAGAAGACATGACTTCACAGAATACCTTTCACAAGAGACTCACAGCCTGACCTTAATAAAAGAAATTGATGCCTCGATCGAGGACATAATGAGCAAGGTCTTCTTCACCAAATATCAGAAAAATCTAAAGAAACACAACATCCTCTTCACAGAACAACTCCTCAATGCAAATAGAACTAAAATGTTAGAATGGTATCAAGTTATCTGAATTAATAAAAAATCTATTCCAGGCTCAACTCCCAGTTGGTTCACTACTATACAAAATAAACTCAAAGAAACACTAGAAACCAAAAACTGAGATGACCCTAACATAACCAAAAACATTTTTACACAAGGCATACCCACTACTAATCTTCCCATAACTAGACCTCACTGGATCTATACAATAAAAGAAGACATCTCAACCATTGGTAAAAGACAACAAAAAATAGACCAAAACATTACTAAATATAGATATTATACATAAAATCCAGAAAGCTCACCACTGGAAGCATGCGAAAGATGCACAATTAATACCTTGGAGGACCAAATAGGAGAATGCAACTTCACGGCCACCAAACAACAATTCATTTCAATACCAGTCTATAAAAGCAAAACTTCAACAAGGAAAAGCCATCACATAGAAAGAGAAACAACTTGGCGAAACAGAGTTTCTCTCAACTCTCTATCTATCAAACATATACATGCTTCTCCAACTCAACAGGAAGTAGATATTGAAATCCACCCTTTAAAAAGCATACATTCACATTACAAGCAGTTGAACAAACTGCTCAAAAGCTCTACAGAAAGCCTAGAAACATTAGCAACAATCTGAAGAAAGCTAGAAAATTATACTATCTTTGAGATATTTATTGACAGCTTTCTAAACAATTTCAACGGAAAATATTACATGAGTCTGTGTTGGATTATTATTATCCCAGACTCAAAAAAGCACACTTTCCAAGAACAAGTAACTACATACACATCATCAACCAGAGCAGAAATTGTAGTGATCCTCACAGCACTTAGTGTTCTACCTGAACACAGTTTAGTAACTTTATACATAGACAGCCAGGCAGCGATCAATGGCATCCTCAAGATCCAAAAGGAAGACTCAAGGAAAATTATAAAAACACAAAAAAACTCAAACCTCCTGCTTCAAATGATAGGTCTATGCAAACAGAATCAAATTAAACTATTCCTATGCAAAATAAAGGGACACTCAGGAATCAAATACAATAAAAAAGCAGATTGCCTGGTACAGATTGACAGATGGAAAGGAATGAGACTGGGTGAGAAAGTGATTGAGATTCTAAGAACACAACATGGTCCCTTAGACATAGTTCCTCAATAGAACAACATCTTCACAGAAATTCCTATAAAAATGATCACAAAAAAGCTTACTCAAACAATTCACCTAGTGAAATGGAGACTCCTCAATCGAACAAGATACAACTACAGCAAAAGAATAGTAAAAGAAATATGCTGACAAACAACCACTATCCTACTACAATCAACCAAAATAAGCAATCA